AAGCAAATATTACCCTGTTATCAAAATCAGAGAAAAACCAAATCAAATAGAAAACTACAAAAAAAAAAAAAAGTACTCAGTTGCTAAATCCAAGGTTGAGAAGAAAAAGAAGTTCTTGCTACTGTCACAAAACCAGCTGGTGATAAGAATGATGGTACCCAGGTGATTAAGCCTCACCAAATACCTAGATACTACCCTACTGAAGGTGTGCCCCCAGAAGCTGTTGAGCTGTGGCATAAACTAAAGCAAAAAAACAATTTCAGTTCGCACATGATGACACTGGGAGCTAGCATCACTCTCAGGACCATCTTGATCATTCTCACTGGTTACCACAGAGGCAAGAGAGTGGTTTTCCTAAAACACTGGCCAGTGGCTTGATACTCATGATTGCACTTCTTAAAATTTATAGAGCAATGTGAAAATCCCCAGACACCTCACTGAAGCTTACTTCAAAAAGAAGCTGCAGAAGCCCAGACACCAAGAACAGTAATATCTTCAACACTGCGAAAGAAAAATGCCAGAATTCAGAGCAGTGCAAGGTTGATCAGAAAGCAGTGGACTCATAGATTTTACTAAATATCAAAGCTGTTCCCCAATACTATTATGGACTACTGGACTCTTTTAGAATATTTTGCTAAGTTAACACACCTATAATATTGAAATGATGGAACTAAACAAAAAAAGGGGATACAGATGAATGTGCATTTTGTATCTGTATATTCAAAATGGTTAGGATAGATACATAGTTACATTCTCTTAATGAATAGAGGATTTGTTCTAATAGTGTTTGTAAATAGGACATCATGTCTGCATCTTGTACAGCAAATAACCACTAGGAAGACAGTATGCAATGTGTTAATTATTGAAACTGTCCTACCAATTTGATATGAAACTGTCTCATTGCTATTTGTTTCTCAATAAAATTATGGGAAGAGAGAGAGAGAGAGAGAGAGAGAGAGAGAGAGAGAGAGAAAACTACAGGCCAGTCTCCCTAATGAACATAAACACAAAAAGTTCCCAATGAGATACTAGCAAACCAAGTGTACCAAATAATCAGGAGGATTATATACCATGACCAAGTAGGATTCATCCCAAAGATGCAGAGATGATTCAACATACACAATAATCAAATTTAATGCACCATATTTACAGAACCAAGGACAAAACCCAAACGAACATCTCAATAGATACAGAAAAAGTATTTAACAAAGTCTAACACCCATTCATAATAAGACAAAAACCCTACAGAAAATTGGAATAGGTGATTTTTATCTCAATCTGATAAAAGGTATCTATGACAAACAAACAGTCAACATCATACTAAGTGGACAAAAATTGAAAGCTTTCACTAAAATCAGGAGTAAGACAAGGATGTCCATTATCACCACTCCTATTTGATACAGTTCTGGAAGCACTGGCTAGAACAGTTAGACAAGAGAGAGAAATAGGGTGGGCCAAATAGCTCAGTGGACTAAAGCACCTGCTTAGGCAGGCTCAGGGACTAGGGTTGGATCCCTAGCACACTGTGCCAGCCCCACTCCCAGGGCAGGCTGAGACTGTGACTGAGACTGGGCATAGTAGCGTGAGCCTGTAATCCCAGTGTTTTGGAGACTGAAAACAGGAGGATCACTACAAGTCTGATCTGTGTAGTTAGACCCTGTAGAACCTGTACTAAATATATAAAAAAGAAAAAAATAATAAAATTAATTAATTAAAATAAAATAAAAGAGAAATAAAAAGAATAAGAATAGGAAAGGGAGAAAAAGAATAGGAAACAAAGAAGTTACATTATCACTATTTGTAGATGCCATAACCAAATTCAGTGGCATAGCTGGATACAAAGTCAACACTCAAATATCAATAGCGTTGTCAGAGATATAGCTCAGCAGCACAACAAGGTCCTGAGTTGAACTCCCAGTACCCTCCCCCACAAAAGAAAAGAAAATGAGCTGGGTGTGGCTCAGTGTTAGAGCCTTCCTGTACACAAATAAAAAAAATTCACTGAGAGAAATTAGAAAAACAATGCCTTTTTTGGGGGGGTGCGGGGATTGAACTCATGATCTTGTGCTTACTAGTCAGGCTTTTATGCTGCTGAGCTACTTCTCCAGCCCAACAATGCTTTTGATAATACCTTCCCCAAAAATGAAATACCTATGAATCAATCTAACAAAGGAAATAAAAGATCTCTACCCTGAAAACTATAGTGCTCTGAAAAAGATCAGTGAGGATAACAGAAAAAAATCAAAAGATATCCCTTGTTCTGAGGTAGGAAGAACCAATATAGTAAAAATAGCCATAACCCCAAAATTGCTATATAGATTTAATGTAATCCCAATCAAATTTCTAACAGCATATCTCATAGAATTAGAGGGGGAAAAAATCCCAAAATTCATTTTGAACTAGAAGAGAGCTAGAATAGAAAGGCCATTCTGGGCAACACAGGCAAGGTAGAGGACATCACAATCCCTGACTTGAAATTATACTACAAACCTACTGTGATTAAAAAAAAAAAAAAAAAAAAAAAAAGAGTGGTACTGGAAAAAAAAAAAAAAAAAAAGACCTGAGGATTAATGGGACAATAGAAGATACAGAAAATACTCCAGATATACTTAGCCACCCTATCCAAACATCTTCACTGGAAGAAAGATGGCCTCTTTAATAAATGGTGCTGAAAAAACTGGCTTTCCACATGCCAAAAACTAAAACCAGATCCAGGTCTTTCATTATGCACTAAACTGAAATCAAAATGGATCAAAGATCTAAATATTAAAACAGAAGCGCTAAATCTACTAGAAGATAGAATAGGCAGAACCCTTCAAGATGCTCATAAAGGCAAAGACTTGAACAAAATCCTGTTAACACAAGAAATACCACAAAGACTCAACAACTCGGATTTCATCTTACTAAAAAGCTTTTGCACAGCAGCAGCACCAACAGAGGGAAGAGACACCCCGCACTGTGGGGAAAACATTTTTCCAGCTGTTCCTCAGACAAAAGACTACTATCTGGAATATATAAAGAACTCAAAAAAAAGACCCCCAAATTTACTTTTAATCAGATTTTATTGGTATCTTTTAGATATACATAATAATCCCGTTCATCATAGAGAATTATACCTGTACATGATAAGACTCATGTTTTTATCTTCCTTTAACCCCTCCTCCCCTCTCCATTTACAAAAACTGTTTACTTGCTTCCTTTTTTCCTCTTTCTTTTCTATACTTTTCCCTTGTTTCCTTTCTCCTTCCCCTCTCTCTTGTTCTCCTTCCCATTTGAACATGTTCTTCCTATTTCATGATACTTATCATAAAGTTCTTATTTACACTTTGTTTCTCACATCTGAGAAACAATACGATATTTACACATGTGTGTCTCCCTTATTTCATTTAAGAGAGCATTCATTTTCCTAAAACTCAGACCACCACCACCCCAATTTAAAAATCCAATCAAAAAATGGACATTTTAGGGCAGGGGCTATAGCTCAGTGGCATAAGCACCTGCCTGGCAAATGCAAGGTCCCAAGTTTGATCCCTAATACCACAATAAATAAGTAAGAAAGAAAGAAAAAGTTTAAGTGGGCATGAAATTTAAACATCATGAATTTATGACAATGAATAGACATTTCTCAGATGAGGAAGCAGAAACAACAAATACATAGAAAGTGTTCGACGCCATTGATCATTCAAGGTGCAGACTAAAACAATGCTGATGTTTCATCTCACTGCAGAAAGAGTAGCTATTATCAAGAAAACCACCAATAACAAATGCTGCTGTGGTGTGGAGAAGAAGGAACCCTTCTTCTCCACTGTTGGTGGGGGTGTAGACTAGGGCAACCACTGTGGAAATCAGTGTGAAGATTCCTCAGAAAACTGAAACCAAAGGTTCTATTTGACCCAACTATTCACCTTCTTGGTATCTTCCCAAAAGAATTAAAAGTATCAAGCACATCCATGTTTATAACAACACAGTATATAATAGCTAAATACAGGAAACAGCCCAAATGCCCTCAATTGATGAATGAAGAAAGATGTAGGGTTTTTTATACAATGGAGTACTACTCTGCCGTAAAAAAGATAAATTTGCAATATTTCTAGCTAAATGGATAAAACTTAAGACTCTCAAGTGAAATGAATTGGACATACCACATGTTGTTTCTCTCGTGTGAGAAACTGAAATTATGAAGAAAGACATAAATATATAATAGATATTGGGAAATGGGAAGAAAATGAGGAGAACAAGAGAATGGGAGAAGGAAAGAAAAGAACAAGAAAAGAAAGTGGACCAGGTGTGGCTCAGTGGTAAAGCCTAGCACATTGGAGGCCCTGGGCTCAATCTACAGTACCAAAATTAAAAATATGAAGCCTGCCATGGTGGCTCACACCTGTAATCTCAGTACACAGGTGGCTGAGGCAGGAGTATTGTTGAGAGTACAGACCAACCTGAGCTACAAAGTGAGCTCAAGGCCAGCCTGCACTACATAGCAAGACCCTGTCTTAACAAAAAAAAAATTTAAACATGATGTATCATATACTATTCCACAATTTGCTTCCATTACAGCTTCAATATCCACTGTGTGTACGTCTCTTATTTTTTCAAGAATCTGTGTTAAGGGGCTGGGGAGATAGCTCAGTGGTCTAAGTGCCTGCCTGGCAAGCACAAGGACCTGGGTTTGATCCCCAGTACCACATGCCATGCCAGCCCTGCAACCCTGGTTGATCTTTGCCCAACCTGAAACTAGGTGTGTTGGTGCATGCCTGTAATCCCAGTGCTGGGGAGGCTGAGACAGGAGGATCAATACAAGCCCGAACTGCATTAGCAAGACCCTATACCAAATAAATATTTTTTAAAAAGTATCTGTATTAAGATGTTTATATAAATTAATGTCTACTAAAACATCTATTATAGGAACATAAAGGTTCATATAAATGAACAGCTACTAAAGAAAGAATTGCCTTTAAAAGACCACACTATGTTGAGAAGTTGGTCTAGAGACAGCTCACCCGAAATTCCATGACATCCACAAATGACTGGTAATAGTTGGTGAGGAATCTGATTATCTCAGCTTTTTCTCGATGTACAGGTCCTAAGTGTTGCTGAGAGAAACACAAAACAACAGCAACAAAATGCTAAATAAAAAGACAATCATAGTAAAACAAGGGTAAAACGTAAACAGGCCTAGAGAACTGAAACAAACTGACAGGAGCTGTAACCGCTCCAATATTTCCTTTAAATTGGGAGCCTACGTGGGCAGTATGTTTGCAGGTGGTTCTGACCAGACACAGGAGACTAAATTAGAGGAAATCTCAATATCCCATTCAGCTGCAGAGGCTTACTATTTATATAAAAATAAAAAGAAGCAGAGTGAGAAGATGCTACTGGCAATATAGATGAGACATCTACGGCTAACATTTAATAAAAAGAAAGTAAGGGATACTCCAGTAGATGCATAACTGTAAGACAAGAGGTGAGGCAACACTGAATAGGAAACAGAAGCAACAGCGAAATATTTTTGTGCTGCAGGCCTGGGAAGCTGTCTTCCTCTGCAAGCACGGTGCTCCCATGAATCTTGCGGTGGAGGAAGGGGCAATTCTCTACTCGGGCTCGCCCTGAGAGCCTCCCAGCCTATCTCTGAATTCTCAAGATCTAGATCTCCATTCCAACCTGAAACCCTGTGATCGAACCTAAGAAAACTGAAAGAAGGCTACTCCATTCCCTTTGAAAATTAGAAGAGAAGCACTAGAGGACAGGCGATCCATCTAAGCACAGAATTATTTCAGAGATAAGAGGAAAGAGGGACTGAGTTCTTACCGTGCTGTTTCGAACATCTATGGTGGGAAATTTCTTGTTGATGTACTTGATGGATGATTCCATGGACTTTTCCAGCAAGAAAGGTGGCTTGGACTTGGGGTCTGAACAAGTCTGCACAGATAAATCACACTATATTGTATCCCTTGCTCCTGCCCCTCAGAAACATACTTCTTCCTACATCATTCATTCTCAGTCTCTTTTAGGAAAGACAGTCTAGGAATTAATGATGACAGTTTGAGAGTAGGTCAAAACAAGTCCCAGGACAGTGAGCCAAATAAGAGCTAAATACCAACCTGGGAATCTTCTCTTGCAGGGTAAAGCTTAACATCTGCTTGGCCCTAGCACAAAGAGGAAGCTGTTTCCCTGCCCCTCAACTGAAGCCGGAAGCAGTGAGCAAGCGGCTGCTCAGAAGTTAGAGTTTGTGTAAGGCACTGTCCATTATATAAATATCTCATGCCAAGGGGCATTTATTGGAGCCATCAAGACGGAGAAACCATGCTCCTAGTGATTTGTTACAAAATGCACAAAAGTTCTTTCCCCCATATCCTGCCATCTCTTTGAGGACGTTCCACAGTTGCCCATCTTTCTCTTTTCACTTCCTCTGGACTTGCCCAGCCCCTAACCCTCCCCTTGCCACCAGTTTCTCCCAGTTTCACAGTTTTCATCCTATACAGCATACACAAACAGCATGAGTTGCCTAAGATAAAGCACCTCAAGAAGCTCCTAGCTTTTAAAAACCTAAGTATCGTTTTCCTTTAAGGAAACTGCTTCCATGAAAGCATTTTTGCAGAGATTCAATTTTTAGATCTCCTCAAGAGCATTGGGGGAACAGCAATATATGAGAGCCAGAATTTTAAACCTTTGCTTAAATGACTCAGAATTATTCTCCCTACAACCCTCAACCCTAATGTTCAGCCCCAGCAGAAAACAAGCTCTGTTCCTGGAGTGAGAATTAGACCTAGAAAGGGGAACCGTTAAACGTAGCCTCCTCGCTCTGCCTCCGGAACTGTCTGGCCTACACCATTTGAGCAACTGAAGGCCAGTCACGGTGGTGGAAAAGTAGAGGGAGTCTAACTTCTGGACCTGCCAGCCTCAGGCATCCCTGCCCTACTGGCAGTGGAATGATTAGTACCGGTCCTGTGGCCCCTACTTACCTTCTTGATGTTGTACATACGGATGAGAACCCCCTGACCTCGATTATTCAGGATAGTGAGCTTCTCTGCTAATTTATGCTGGTAGGCAGAAGTCAAAGACATGATGGCCACTGAGAGAGAGGAGCATCCAAACAGCAGCGTCTGCTCTCTCCAAATACTCTCAGTTTGATGGTGACACCCTCTGGGCGGAGGAACCCAGCCTGGTTGGTGCACAGGTCTTCCTGTTGCCTCTGCAATTGGCTCACGGGTGAAGCAGTCATTAGGGCTCACGGGCCCTTTCGGCCTCCTTGTGCTTCCTCTTGCACACTCAGCAGAGGAAACTTCCTCTTTCTGGGTCTTTTGGTTTGACTGTGAAGTGGGTGGTGATGGGGAAAAGAACAGGCTTTCAAGGTTCTTTAGAGTGTGGCACCAGTATTTTTGGCCTTTGCCCCCCAAAAATGTCATGGACAAAGTTCTGTATCAGACCAACAAGGTATCTACCACCCCACCTGTGCCTTGCTACACTTTCCCTTTTATGTCCCCATCCAGAATGTGGCTGTGTCTACTGAACTTTAGGCTTCATCATCTTTAAGAACCCATATCAAATTCTATCTACCCTATCCAATGGCAAATATTACATTGTAAATTGCAAAAATATACACGCATGTGTATGTATTTTGGTATATTTTTAGGTAGGTGTCTGGTTTAAGTACCTCATATGCTCCTAATAACAGGAACTGTGCCTAATATTTACATCCTTCCAAGGCTCTGGTACAGTGATTCTCAAGGTGTTATTCAGCAGCAACATATTATCTGGAAATGTGTTAGGCATAAAAATTATCTGGCCACATCCTACACCTACTGAATCTAAAACTCTGGGGTGGGGCCACAATTTAACAAGCCCTCCAGGGAATTCCAATGTACCTCAAATTTGAGAACAACTGCTGTAGTATAATGGTACTTTAGGTGCTTAAAAACTGAGATTGAGGGCTGGTGAGATGGCTCAGTGGTCTAAAGCACCTACTTAGAACAAGCTTAGCAAAGCACAGGCACAGGGACCGCGGTTCAATCCCCAGCACCACATGCCAGCCAGCCCCGCCCCCTGGTGGGCTGAGCTGGCCACACACACTCACACATAAATAAATAAAATTAAAAAAAAAAAAAAAAACGGGATTGAGCTGGGGAGATAGTTCAGCAGTATAAGTGACTGCCTGGCAAGTGCAAGAACCCAGATTTGATACCTAGTACTTCACGTTGTATCGACCCTAGAACCCCAGGCATGCTGTGCCAGCTGTGAACCAGGTGTGGTGATGCACACCTATAATCCCAGCTCTGGGGAGGCTGAGACAGGAGGATCATTATGAGTTTGAACTGTATAGTGAGACCCTGTATCTAAAGGAAAAAAGGAGAAAAGAAAGAAGGAAATACTGAGATCAATCCCTGTCCTCCAAGATTCAGATAGGTAGTTCTATGGCAGGCCTAGAAATTTGCACTTGTAAGTACATAATGTTCCAGGGAACATATGATGAAAACACTGATTTAGAAACAATGCTTCTTGGGTACAGCTGCCACTCAATAAATACACTGGCTCATTTATTGAGTTATCATTAAACTGAGATATAAGTCCCATGAAAAAGAACCAAATAATCGAGATTAACCAGGGGAAATTAATAATGACCCTTAAATCTTAGAGGACTGAATAAAATATTCCTGCCATTTGAGCCAAACCTTAACCCTTAACTCAAGAAAACTTTCTACTCATTTTAAGTTTCTTTTACAGTACACACCAAAAAGAGGCCCTACGAAAAATTCTAAATCAGAGTCACTTTGTATCCATGTGTTTTCCAATGCTTTTTCTCTGCTTTTTAGTTATTCCCATTTCTTCAAATCCAGAGCTTTCACCCTGTCCCAATAATCATGGTGATGTGGTTAAAATGGAAGGTGATCAGCATTATTTAAGGCATGTGTGGGCTTCCAAGAGCAGGTATTTTTTAAAGAAACCCCAGGGCTGGAGAGATGGCTCAGTGGTCTAAAGCACCTACTTGAAACAAGCTTGGCAAAGCACAGGGACCGCGGTTTGATCCCCAGCACCACATGCCAGCCAGACCCGCCCCGTGGTGGGCTGAGCTGGCCACACACACACACAATAAATAAATGTAATAAATAAAAATAAATAAATATTTTAAAAAAAAAAGAAACCCCAAATGCCTGTGCTTGAAATGTTAAATTTCAAGTATTTCTGAGGGACATGTTGAATTTTTGAAAAAGAAAATCTATCTTCCCATTTTCTGGATTGTATCCCTAAAAATGTATGATCTTGGAATAATGTGATAGTGAGCCTGAAGATCTCAATCACCTGCTGTTATCAGAAACACCTGGGATCTGCTAAAGAGGCCTGTGTGATTTCTATTGGTCCTTTACCTTGATGGAGGAGAATAAAGAGGAATCTGGAAGCGGTCAACATTTAGGCCGCTGAACAGCAGAACAGCACCAACTTTCTCAGGGTTAGTATCATCGCCTTGGTTCTTTGTACTCATATTTCTTATTCTTATTCCAACATTTCACTGAAGAGTCTCCATCCCAAGGCAATGTTGTCTTCTGTGGTCCCCTAATGCCGACTCCCCAACCTAGTACAGACCATGTACTCTGTCTGCTGTGAGTGTACTGTGCTGCTTTCTGCCTTCATATGTGTGTGTGTGTGTGTGTGTGTGTGTGTGTGTGTGTGTGTGTGTGTTTCCCGCTTACTGACACAAATCCTATTCACTCTTCAGGGTCTAGCTGAATACTCCCAAATCCAGTCCTTGCTGAACTCTTGCAGCACTTTATTTATATCACATATTTTAATCTAAATCAGATTTTTCTCTTGAATTGCCCATTTCATATCATACTCCCTTGCCTACTAAAGTGAAAGATAGCTGCGGCATAGAAATACTTATTTCCTGTAGTTGGTATCCAGAGAAAATTCACACTTTGGTATCAGTTAGGATTGGGCTCAAATATAGTTGAGTACAGTTAGTTAAACCTTATGACTGGAAGGCTAAAAGCCCACATTCTGGAGCCAGGTAGTTTGAGTTCACATTCTCCCTCTGGGATTTATCAGCTGACCAATTTCCCTGTCTGTAAAGTGGAGATGCCAATAATAACTCCTGGGAGGCTGGGGAGATGGCTCAGTAGAATAAGTGTTTGCCTGGCAAGTGCAAGGCCCTGAGTTCAATCCCTGGTTCCACCAAAAAAAAAAAAAACAACTCCTGGGGCTGGGGAGATAGGTTGGTGGTCTAAGCACTTGCCTGGCAAGCACAAGAACCTGAGTTCAATCCCCAGTACTGCATGCCATACCGGCCCCTAAACCAGGCGTGGTAGTGCACGCCTATAATCCCAGCGGAGGCTGAGACAGGAGGATCACTACAGTCTGAGCTGTATAGCAAGACCTTGTATCAAATTATAATAATAAATCCTATCTCATAGGGCTATTCTGTGTATTAAGTAGATTAGTATATTCAAAATGATAGCCTACTTACTATATAGCAAGTATTTCAGTCCTTTATGTGTGTTACTTCAAACAATATTAATAATACTATCAAATACATTCTAGCTTTGCAACATTAGGCTATGCATTATCAAGAGTCAGCGGCCTAATCTATTTGTGTTGGTAATCCCCCACACAGTGGTGGAAGTGAGAATGATTTGGCAAATGTAAACATTTGGTTCAAAGACTAGTACATTTGATTAGGAATGCCAACAACAGACTAAAATTTTTATTTATATGTAGTGAGCTTTTTGTGTCACTTTTTTGCAAAATTCTATTTGGTACCCTGTAAATAAAAAAGGCCAGGTGTAAATATGGGACTAATCATGTCAACCAGTAGAGAAACTTTTTTGGAAAGACTATGTAGCAGCTCCCCCTGAGGACTAGAGGAGCCCTCCTAAAGATCTAATTACCCTAGAGCAAAACCTAGTAACCCAACTGCAAACCAGAATCCCCTGTGGAGTCTTCTTAAAGCCACACTCAGCTTGACTACATGCTTGAGATTCTGATACAGTCATTCTAGAGTGACACCAAAGCATCTGTCACTTTAAAGCTACTCAGTGATTCATATGTACAACAAGACTGAGAATCATTTTTCTAAAACTTCACTGTGACATTAAAATCTCCCAAATCTCTGAGAAACTACAGAAGCTATGGTGGGAGGAAAGGAATTGAATGGAAAGCTTGAACAGCGTGTTGATTCCCATCATTGCCTGAAAGGTACTATGCTTTCTCTCACTTCAGATACATCGTCTGTTTCCCTTGTGTGCCTCTAGAAGGATCATATTCCTCTTCCAGTGACCCTTCCCTCAGGAATACTGAGATACTCCTTTGAGAATAGGTAGGTCTCAGGATGCTTTAGGTTCAGTTTAAGTGTCAAGGTGACATCAAGTTTGGAACACTTGTCAGAACTGACCCATGTTAAAGCACATGGCCTTCATCATAGTCTTAGCCTCCTTATATGGGACATTCATCTATCAATAATTAGGTGAATCTGGGTGTGATAGTGTGCACCTGGAATCTCAGCTACCCCAGAGGCTGATAAAGTTTGTAAATTTAAGGCCAGCCTGCGAAATTTAGCAAGACCCCATCTCAAAATAATAATCATCTTCATAATAGGTGAACAATCCAGTGTCATGAATTGTCACTGCCTTTTCTGAAACAGCCTTTAAGACTTGCCTTGTTACTCTGATCAAAACTCATACTTTGCTAGGCTATTGGCTAAAATAAGGATTTAGGATTGTCTGAAAGTTGTTTGAATATTATAGAATCTTTTTCATTATCTTTGAGAACCCAAGAATAACTGTATACAATATTGGATTATATCAAGGTCTTTATTTTATTTTTAAAAAAGGCCACTTCGGGGCCAGGGAGATAGCTCAGTAGAATAAGTGCTTGCCTGGCAAGCTCAGGGTCCTGAGTTTGATTCCCGGTCCCTGAAAAAAAAAAATTTAAAAAGGCCACTTCATTGTATAATGTGTTCATGGTTCTAATATAATCATTCATATGCACTGAAAGTTTTAAAGAACTATCCTGGCTTGTGTTCCTAAAATCTATCTGAGCCTAAGCCCTGGATTTAATTACCAAAATGCCCTCAGGAAAACCTAACATTTAACAGTCTAGCTCTGTGCCCTTTGTCTATGCCCTAGGCATGATACAAAGTAGAATTGAAATGGGATATTCTAGGGAACTTTTCCATCCTGACTACTTATGCCAGTCTGCCTTGATCTCTTCTCCCCCACTCCATCAAACTATACATCAGGGCTTTGTGGAAATCTCAGCTGTAGTTGTTGCCTAGAAACTTGGAAGTCCTTGAAATTGATGTCTGCTAGGACTGCTAAAGAAGCTAGTCATAGGAAAAAGTAGGCCTCCTATTGGCAGTAAAAATGTAGCAGATTTGCGATGTTGTATTTTTAGTTCACTTCTATGAGTCTCCATATATTAATATGTACAACATTAGAGATTTCAGGCTCATATTCTCAAGGAACTATAAAGTAGCCTGAACTTGAACATTGTACTGTTCATTCTCCTCAAAGGTACCTATGTTGACCTATTTGATAATGAGTGTCTTTCTCTGCCAAAGAGCTTAATTTAAGAAAACTGGAGAAGGGAGGAAAGGGACCGATGCTGAGAAGTATAAAGGGACTTGCTTTCTCCAGCACTCAAGATTATAGTGTTAAGGACTGCTTTCTATCCCAGGTCTGAATTTTCTAAAGATTCCTCCCTGTTTAATACTTTAAGAGCCACACATTCTGTTTCAAATAATACTTAAAATATATACAAATATTTTAAAATTATTAAATTTTGGGCTTTCAAAGTATGGAAGAAGTAAATTTCCTCTATTGTCTAACTAGCTAGGCTATTGCCTTAGTAATTCAAAGCTTTCCTAGGTAGAACTTGAGACATCTCATACCTTTCATTCTACTTTTCTTTCAAAAATAGAAAATAGGCCTATGTCAAGACTACCTAATCTCAGTGTCAGTCTTTTCTTTGCCAACCTATGGTTCTTGCTGTTTAGGTCTCATGGAGCGAGAAGTCTTAAAAATATGTCCGTATGTCCCAACACACAGGATGCCAGCTAGCAGATTACAGTACCACCTGGTGTCATGCAAAAAGGTTAGTTTTTCTGATAAGAACTACAAATCCCTAGAGGAGAAAAAATAAGCTCAAAACAGAGTTAAAGTTAAAAACAAAGCTTCTGATTATATGTAACACCTGGAAATTCTTAACATTAAAATATTATATTTCTTCAAGTATTTCCAGAAATGAGTTGAGGGTGGAATACAAGCAAAATCTAAAAAGAACTTTTTCTTTCTAGAAAAATCCAAACATAGCTAAAAAGATGGCTAGCTGCAAATACAATGCTTGTCACGTGGTTCCAATCAAAAGACTCAAAGAACATGAGGCTAATTGTGTCTACAGAACTACTATCGATGACGGTAAGCTTTTCATTTGGTGGTGGGTAGGCAGAATTAAGTTCTAGTATTCCCTACGCTACCATATCTCATAACTATGGAAGTCTCAACAGAAGAGTCATGTACAAAAGGAAACTTCTACTCTTCTAAGCACTGGCTTACTTTTATTTCAGAGCCAGTTACTCTTCCCAAGTTTATTTCTACAACTTTGGAATTAAATGATAAGCTTTCAAGTGCTGCCAGTCAGATTCCTGACCCAATTGTCTGGAATACAGGTAAGCAAGGGTGAGATGATGCACATAATCATGAATGACGGCCTGTTTTCTATGCCCTTTATAGCTAACAAACACAGCTCTGGAAAATCAAATCCTGATAATTTTCCCACAAAATGGTTCACTAAACAATCCAATTAGTAAATCAAAGAATTTCACCAGACTCCAGAGTGTCGGCTCAGCACAAAGGTGCCTAGCTAAAACCTGAATTCACTTATAACAGGTAAAAGATTCTGATCTTGAGCTGAGCATGGAGTCACATACCTGTGATTCCAATATGCTCAGAATCATAAGCTCAAGTCCAGCCTGGGCAACTTGGCAAGAAGCCATCTCAAAATAGAAAATGAAAAATCTGGGAGAACTAGCTGGCTACAAAGGTTCTGGGTTTAAGTCCCAATACTAGGAGAGAAAATGATTCTGATGACCCACATCTGCAACTTGAAAATGTGGCATTTCACTTAAGTCAATTAATAGCCTGTCTCTATGATGCAGCATGTTATAATGGAGACTTCGCTGGCTTTCAGTCACATCTAGGTTCAGTGATCCACTCTGGCTTTAAGTAATATTACTTTTCTAACACATTTACACCTATAAAAGTCTGCCTCAAAGTCAGTTTTAATATTAAATAGAGGCTAGAGTATAGCTCCGAGCACTTGCCTTGCATGCATGAATGAAGCCCTAAATTCAACCTCTAACACCACAAAGCAAAGATAAATGTGTTAGAGCAACATAAGCTCCTATAACCTATAACCTTCAAACCATGTTAATATAGTGGCCTTTTTTTAAGACAAGGTCTCACTATGTAGCTCAGGCTAGCCTTGAACTCACTACGTAGCCCAGGCTGGCCTCCCAGTGCTCCTCCAGCCTCAGCCTCCTGAGTGCCCAGATTACAGGAGAGTGTTACCACGCCTGGCGATATGATGGCTTAACACAACAGACATTTTCTTGTGTAAATCCCGGTACAGGTCATAAGTGATAAGGAATCCAGCACAAATGGTCTTTGGATCTTGCTGTTACTTTCCACACTTAGCTTTCAAAGCTGCCATAAAAAGAATGAAGAAGGCTTCTCAGCCCAGAATACTTTAATTCCTTTTCCATTCTCAAAACTAGCTACTTTGTCATGCCTAAACACAAGAGAAGTGAGGAAGTTGTCCCTGGAAGAAGAGCCACTTCCCAGTGACAACCCAGAAGGAAGGCTCAAACATATGCTACCGGGTAGTCTTCTCTGGAATGTCATAAAAACACTTAGTGCTTGTGTCACCTTCTTTCTAGATAACATGAATTACTCTTCTCCATTCGTTCTTAAGACTTTTACTCCAAGAATCCTGGTTTGTGAAAGGTAAGACACATTATACTTCCATTTTCAGATTAAAGAACAGAATACTTTAAAAGCTGGGCTCTAAAAGTGAGGTGGGAATTAGGTCATTGGTGTGGCAGACGCCAAAGCGTCAACTACTGAAGGTCTGTGGAGGCACCCTCCAAGTGCCTCCCATTTCTTCACAGTGCCACTTGGACTCTATTTCCATAGAAAGCTTGTAAGCGGGGTGGTGAGATGGCTCAGTGGTCTAAAGCACCTACTTGGAACAAGCTTGGCTGAAGCACAGGGACCGCGGTTCCATCCCCCAGCACCACATGCCAGCCAGCCCCGCCCCCTGGTGGGCTGAGCTGGCCACACACACATAAATGGATAGATGGATAAATAAATAAATTTAAAAAAAAAAAAAAGAAAGAAAGAAAGCTTGTAAGCATAATGTTCCTGATTCTGTGTAAGATTTTCAAAGAAAAAAAGACTAATTCTTTAGTATATGAAAGAGAGTGTTTGCTTCGGCAGCACATATACTAAAATTGGAACAATACAGAGAAGATTAGCATGGCCCATGCACAAGGATGACATGCAAATTCGTGAAGCGTTCCATATTTTTCAAAGTGGTTAGGATAGATATATAGTTACATTCTCTTAATGAATAGAGTGATTTGTTCTAATGGTGTTAGGATATCATGTCTGCATCTTGTACAGCAAATAACCACTAGGAAGACAGTATGCAATGTGTTAATTATTGAAACTGCCCTACCAATTTGAAAAACAAAAAAAAGAAAGAAAGAAAGAAAGAGAAAGAACCAAGCTGGGATCTCCAACTGAACAAGCCTGAAAGGAACTTGCAACAGTTCTAAGAGACATTAATAGAATTACCCACCACATACGCAAGGAGATGGCATAACAGCACTGTACAAAACAGAAATTGCAGGGGAAAGATTGCTTTTCTGACCCTTAGTAATATCAAGTATGTTTGATAAAATAACTTAGGCTCTTGTAACTGGTTATCTAGACATTCTCTATTTCTGGTTTTCAACTAATTTTTCCCTTATGATCCTTTCCTACAGTGACTCAAGAGAACTAAGAGGAGAAGTGATGGTTAATAACAATCCTAACAACAATAAAAGGTAGGAAAAAGAGAAAATAACTTTGTAAAACTAGCATAGCTGGGCATTGTGGTACACACCTGTAATCTCCACACTATGAGAGGCTGAGGCAAGAGATTCAAGCAAATCTGAGCCCAGCTTGGGCAACCTAGTGACTTAGCAAGACCTGGGGATATAGGTCAGTGTGAAGACCATGGCTTTAACCCCCACTACTGCAAGAAGGAAAAAAAAAACTAATATGGACAAAATTTTCTTAAGGAAATTAAACGGGGTAGTGGGGGGCCTGCCCATTATCTCAGGTGTTTAAGTGCCTACTGAAACAAAGCAGTCAGGCTCTGGATGCTGTAGTTCGATCCCCTCATTCTCAAGCCAAACCAAACCTGCCCTGAAGGCATTCTGAGTGGGCCAAAGAAAAGAAAATTAAACATTATTTTGAGTCCCTCCTCCATTCACAATAATTGCAGGAGAAAGTCCTGACACTCTGAAATCAAATTTGGGAAGAAAGGCTATCTAGGGCTGTACTTAAAATGATGTGATGAACTGGGTATGGTGGCACACCCCTGTATTGCCAGCACTTGGGAAGTTGAGACAGGATTTCTGAGAGTTTGAGACCAGCGTGGGGGCTACACAAGCCCAGCTTGAACTGCATAGTGAGACCCTGTCTCAAAAATATAAAAATTAAATGCCCTGAACATGCCATGAGACTTTGGTGTTTCATATAAGCATTCATATCAAAATGACACTACTTCAATCTTTTTTCTCCCTACAGGTCAGAAAAACTGAGTAAGTGTGGATTCAAAAGCCAGTAGACCGAAGATTTATTTTTCAGTCTATTTTAAGCTTTAGGGAAATCTTAACTGGGGGTAGGGGGTGGTGTATGGGGTGTGGGATGCAAGAAATGTAATGTAATTCAGTTGCATAGTGCTTGCCTTGTATGCATGAGGCCCTGGGTTCAATGCCCAGCACAGTGAAAGAAAAATCTTAACTGTCAAGTTTTAGTAGCAACTCTTGCATTGGCATCTTAACATGTTTTAATTTGCTTAAATAAAGATTATTTTTCCTATCACAAGCTCCATTTGGTTCTTCATTCATTTTTGTTTTGTGGGGAGTTTTTTGAGACAGGGTCTCTTAATATAGCCCAGGCTGGCCTCCACTTCGTGGATCCTCCTGATTCATGGTGCCACCATGCCCATCTTTCTTATTTTTATACTCATTTGTCAACCAGAAGGCTGAGAACTTATTAGCCTATTTCCTTTATTAGTAGTGGAAATCGTATATGGGTGGTAATACTGTCCCACAATTAGGTTCTTCATTTCTCAATTTTTTTTTCTCCAAGTCATTTACTATATGACCATCAGACCAACCTTCATCAGTTAGCTTTCTCTACAGATCTATTGTTTAAAGATATAGTTTTTATGACACACTGACTTTGAAATATGGCTACAAATCCACTTAACTCTTTTCTTATTCTTTATTTGGTACAGGGTCATACTATACAGCTCAGACTCATAGTGATCCTCCTGTCTCGGCCTCCCTACCACTGGGAGTACAGGCATGCATGCGCCACCATGCCCAGTATTGGTGGCCATCATGGTGCACCCCAATCTGGGGCCAGCACTGCATGCAGTACTGGGGATTGAACCCAGGTCATTGCATTTGCCAGACAGGCACTTACACTGCTGAGCTATCTCTCCAGCCCAAACTATATATTCCTTTTATACCAGGGATTGAGCTCGGGACATTGCACTTGCCAGGCAATGTGTGTACCACTGAGCTATCTCCCCAGCCCAACCTTCCTAACTCCCTAAAGGCAATGTACTCCCATCTTAATATGATCACTCTGGGTTTTTTTGCTTGTTTTGTCTTGTTTAGTAATATGTGGGATTGAGCTGAGGACCTTCACACTGAGCTACATCCTACAATCCCCTCACCACTTTTATTTTTAAGGTAGAGTCTCTCTAGGCCACTAAATTGCAGTCTTGGAGCCTCAGCTTCCCAGAGTGCTGGAATGACAGGCATACTTTATCACACTCACTAACAAGTTGTTTATGTCTCCAGAGGAGACATAATGCTATAAGATGCTTTTGGATAGACATGATCTTAACTGTGTGCTAGTTCTGTGCCCACAGTTAAGTTTGCCAAATATAGAGAATCTATACTTGCAGACCATGCTTAGGGAAAATGAGATTCAATAACCTGGGCTAAATATTTCTTTCAGAATAAATCAACCTTTCAAAAATCTTAGTAATCAGTTTTTCTTCTCCAGAAAGTCCTATTAAGGCAAGTTATTTTCAAGAAATAGCAATAGGCCTTTCCACCTATAAAGTTTCTTACCTAAAATCAAGTTTTAAAGTTTCAGCTCTTCCATTCACAGTATAAACTGCAGGAGGAAAACTCTGCTATGTCCTAAACATGTACCAAAACATGTCTCATTGGTTCCACCTCTTTATCCAACGTTGGTCCAAACTTTCTGAGTATTTTAGTTCAGGCATTCCAAGAGGCTGTGGTTTAAGACAAGAAAAAACCTCAGATATTTCAGTCTTTTCTTCCCACATACTCTTTTACAAAATAGATGAATGTTTTTTACAGCACTTAAAAATATATACCTGAGTTCTCAAGTCAAATAATCAAATATCTACTATATTTGCAACACTATTTAAGAACTAAAGCAGCATGGAAGAAATGGGGAGATGTTGGTCAAAGCCACTAAGTACACAGCTAAGTTATCAATAAATTGTAGAGAACTAATACACATCATGGAAACTATAGTTAGTAATGTATCTGTAAGCCAGGCATGGTGTCACATGCCTGTCATTGCTGCACTTAGAAAGCTGAAGCAGGAAGATCACTTCAAATTTGAGGCCAGCCTGGGCTACATAATGAGTTCATGTCCAACTTGAAGTACATAGGAGAGGCCCTATCTCAATAAAAAAAAAAAACAATGTGCTGTATACCTAAAATTTGCTAAATCTTGAGTATTTTTACTACATACAAAAACTATATACCAGTTTTGCTAATTAACTTCATTGTGGGAATTATTACCCAAGGCTTACTTATAGCCAAACAACATGTTGTAAAAGTTAAATACACATAATTTGTCAATCTCACATCAATTAAAAAAAAATACTATAATGGTGTGGTCCATAATGAAACAACAACGCTAACAATTGCCTGTCATTCTGGTCTTCTGAATATGGGCTGTTTGTCAAGACAAGCCAGTTACTGCTATGATGTCTCTCGGGTAGGTGGATGTTCAAGAAGAAGGGGTGGTGAATGAAAGCAAGAGACAGGAGAAGGAATATTGTGGGACTGTCCTGCTTCAAGGTTGTATATGGTGAGATTTTTGGACTTATGTGTAAACATAAGTATATAATTCTTTATGACTATTTTAAAAATATATTCTTATTTTTAAATGTTTTTTATCATATTCTGTAGGGACTTAAAGTTCAACATATCAATACTTGAGGAAAAATACCTGTTCCATATTATGCCTAAGATGTTTGATATGCAGACAGACAGGCTTAACAGCCTAAGTTGTATGGTAATAACAATAAGCTTGTCTTCTGGATGGTTAACAACCTAAGTTTGCAGACCAAAATTAGAGAAAAAGGAGGGCCACAAGGAAAGCCAACATTTGGGCCCTAGCCTTCTAAGGTCAATTAAGACTCAGGACATATGAGAACTTGTACTGTAATGTCATGTATCTCGGCAGTGTCCCAAATTTTCTGATCAAGGAGATTATGGGGCCAAAGAGGAAAGTGATCGATGATGTAGAGTGTGCCTAAGGAGAGTCACATGGAGAGAAAACATTCTCTCAGGCTTTTACAGCGAGCACATTGGCCAAGCAACGGCCGTGACTCATCCACATGGCTGACACTGACAAAGGTTCTACAATCTGAGGTACAGGATCTCAGGATAAATCCTGAGGGCATTTCACTGACCTTCTCAGACCCAAAAGCTACAACTCTTGTTGCATAGGTCCTGCTTTACCTTGGTCTTAACCATCCAGCAGAAAAGTATAAAAATGAAATATAAGAAGTAAAGCCATGTTGTTATGCTGAGCTGTAGGGGACTCAGGTCAACAATTTCTGACATTGCCAGTGAAGCGGAAGATCCAATACTCCTATGGGCTACTGGACTCTTTTAGAATATTTTGCTGAGTTAACACACCTATAATACTCAAATAACGGAACTTAACAAAAAAAGGGTATACAGATGTATGTCCATTTTGTATCTGTGTATTCAAAGTGGTTAGGATAGATATGTAGTTACATTCTCTTAATGAATAGAGGGATTTGCTCTAATGGTGTTTATAAATAGGATGTCATGTCCACATCTTGTACAGCAATTAATCACTAGGAAGAATGTATGCAATGTGTTAATTATTGAAACTGTCCTACCAATTTGATTTGAAACTGTCTCATTGCTATTTGTTTATCAATAAAATTATGGGAAAAAATGTTAAAAAAAAACAATGCTAACAGTATAAAGCAATGGTTCTCAAACTTTAGAGGATAACAGAATCACATGGAAGGTTTGTTCAAATAAACAAACACCAATTGTAGGACCTCTCACCTTCCAGAGTTGCTGACTCAGTAGGTCTGTGAGAGCCCAAGAATTTGCATTTCTCCACATCACCAGATGCTACTGATGCCACCACGCAGGGACCACATTTTCTGAACCGCTGATACTGTAAAAGTGCCAGGGAAGGAGAATGTAAATGGAAGTTCCAAAACAAAAGAAAAAGGATTTAGTCCTACGTTGGGGGTAGAAGGTTTTACAGAGAGAATGAGTCTTATATTTAAACACTTGGCCTTCCTTAAAATAACAGCTCTAAGGAATGGCAGTATAGCCTTTTATACAATTTTTAGCAGGTGAGGTTTCTTTGGCCTAACTGTGCCATGCTGCTTGCTTTTCAACAGTCTTCAAAAAATTCACCAGTTGACAAACACCCGTAATCCCAGCACTCAGTAGGCTGAGGCAGAAGGATCATTATGAGTTGAGACTAGCCTGGAATGCAAAGTGAGCTCAAGGCCAGCCTACACTGCCTAGTGAGACCCTGTCTCAAAAAGACAAAAAAGGGGCTGGACAAAATAGCTCAGCAGATTAAAGCACCTGCAAGCAGATGCAGAGGCTGGGGGTTCAATCCCCAGGCCTGCTGTGCCAGCAATTGAGACTGGATGTGGTGCCGCGTGCCTATAATCCCAGCACTGGGGAAGCTGTAAACAGGCAGGTCACTATGAGTCCAATCTAATAGTGAGATGCTGAACATCCTGTAGACCCTTCCCTAAAAAATAAAAATAACTCAACCTAATAAAGAAAGTTTCCATTTCTTTACCTATCTCTTCAATATTGGAACAATTTACAAAGTTTGGCTTCCAATTTACTTAGATGCCAGCACTCAAAGCACGTGAGAAGTTGTATTTTCCTGAACTCTGGGAAAAAGAACTACCCATACATCAGTGAAAAACAATGAATTTCTTAAGTAACGCATACTGGTAATTATTACAGACAATGTGGATTACAGAGACAGATAACATTTATGTATTATGACTAACAAAATATAACCTCTTTTTTTTTCCCTCCACTTGTATTTTACTTTAGCTTTCTAGAGTTCAATATTTCCTGTCATTTAGCAAGTTCTCAGCAACTCTTTTCTAAGCATAAATTTATTTTCATGTTTGTCACCTCTCCCTGATACTATGCCTGAATAATTATATCTAGCTCCAACTCTTTTCTCACCCATACATCAAGACTTCCCGATAAATGTATATCCTAACCAATAAGAATACCTGGCCCATTCCCCATAACCTTTTATTTTGATTTGCAACTGTTTACAGAATAATTCTTCTGTTTTTAATTATATGGTTAACTACCAATCAGAAGTCATAATGAAAAAACCAGGCCTTAGGTGATAGACTTCAAGACAGAAATGAAGAAAGACAGATTTTAGTGTTCTGATGGGCAAAAGTTTATTAGGCCTTCTGAAAATGAAACTTTAGCATGTATCTCAAGAACTATTTAAGGGGGGCTGGTGAGATGGCTCAATGGTCTAAAGCACCTATTTAGAACAAGCTTAGCAAAGCACAGGGACTGCGGTTCAATCCCCCAGCACCACATGCCAGCCAGCCCCGCCCCCTGGTGGGCTGAGCTGGCCACACACACACACACACACACACACACATAAATAAATAAAACTTAAAAAAAAAAAAAAGAACTATTTAAGGGGGGGCCTGGCCCTAGCTCAGTCCTTTGAGTGGCTGCTTCCACAAAGCTGTCAGCCTTGGGTTGCTGGAGTTCAAACCTCACAACTCTCCCGCTGGCCAAAAGTGCCCTGAAGGCATTCGAGGAACAAAAAAAAAAAAAAATCCTTATTCCATGGGCTGGTGAGATGGCTCAGTGGTCTAAAGCACCTACTTAGAACAAGCTAAGCTAAGCAAAAGCACAGAGACCACGGTTCAATCCCCAGCACCACATGCCAGCCAGCCCCGCCCTCTGATGGACTGAACTGGCCACACACACACAAAATAAATAAATAAATAAATTTAAAAAAAAAAGAACTATTTAGGGGGATGGGGATATAGGGCAGTGGCCCAAGTGTCTGCTTGGCATATGCAAGGCCCTGAGTTCAATCCCTGCTACCAAAGGGAAAAAAAACAAAAAAAAAGACTATTGGAATTCCAATCCAAAGACTTTTTAAAAACTCATTTCAGGGACCAGGGAGATGGCTCAGTAGAATAAGCACTTGCCTGGCAAGCACAAGGCCCTGAGTTCAACTCTTGGTTCCACCAAAAAAATAAAATAAAAAGCTCACTTTCTAACAAAGTTTTTTCTTTTAATTTTATTTATTTATTTGATACAGGGTCTCACTATGTAGTTCAGACTCATACTGATCCTCCTATCTCAACCTCTCCAGTGCTGGAATTATAGGGGTGTGCCCCGTTTCAGGCCTGCACAGTGTACCCCTGGCCAGCACAGCATGTGGTACCCAGGATTAAATTCGCACTTGCCAGGCAGGGCCTGGACCACTGAGCTATCTCCCCAATCCTCTAACAAAGGTCTTCATTGTTTATTTTATAGTACAATACTAGCCATTGAATTTAGGGCTTGAGTATGACATCTTCAGCCATACACACACACACACACACACGGGGACTTGAACTCAGGACCTTGGGCTTGCCAGGCAGGTGCTATGGTTCTGAGCTATATCCCTGCCCACCCTACTTCTTCTTTTAAGATCTCACTAATTGGCCAACACTGACCTTGAACTCTTGGTCTCCTGCCTCAGCCTCCTGAGCAGCTGGGAATTCAGGTGTGCATCACCATACCCAACCTAACAAAGGATTTTCAGTCAATAAAGTACAGATTTGTCTTTTTAACTATTAGCCCCATAAAATTTATTATTTTACTAATTGTTAAAATATAATCTATAAGGATAAATGCTAGAGAATGCACAGATAAAGTCATAAATTAGAATTGTCTCCACTAACTCCTAGAATGGCCTTTGTTTAAATGACTTGGTATCTCCTTTCTTCTTTTTCAAATATGACCAGCCTGGCTGTAAAACCAGTCTGAAAGCAAGCTCAGCAGGGATCTCAGATAAAGCAGAAAGTTCTGGGGTTGAAAAGAATAGATGTGTGGTGCATTTTTATTTCAAAGTCACTACTGAAAGGCAGGTCTGAATTTTGTTTGTGAGATGGTATGCTTGCTCACTGGTGCTAAATGAAGCAGCTTTATCAGTTGACAATCCTGTCAGCCGGACAAGCCATTTCTGAGTGCAGTGAAGCCTGATTTTAGATTCTGGCTTAGGACCCAATCTTCTTCCTCTCAAATTCTTAGCCTTTCTTCCTCAGAAATTTCAATTTGCAGATATCTGCATGAAAAGTACTTGGACATCATGGTAATATTGAAAACACTTGCACCAGATTACTGTCATTTGAAACCTAAAAATTCATATTTTGGTTCCAATCACTGTGGCCCTACTAAATCAATATGAATGATGTGAAAAAGTCAGAGGTTAGGATTTCATTAAAATTATTTAAAACTATTGCCTAACAATCTGAAACTAACTTGACAAAACAACAGCTGTTCCTAAAATGCTTTGTGCTAAGCTGGCAATGAAGCTTTCATTCTTAGCAATTATCTTTGAAAAAGCACTTTAACAGCATGTTCCTTCTTCATATGAATCATCCATGCCATTCAGGTGAAAGAATAGCTTTTGTAAATTCAAAATATTGCTTAGGTCAGTGTTTCTCAACCCTGCCTGCACAATAGACTCATCTGGATAGTTTTTTTAAAAAAAAATAACTATTACTGGCTCTGATTAATTGGCCTGGAATGGGAATTCAACCTCGTATATCTTTTTTTTTTTCTTCTTTTTTTCTTTTTTAGACAAGGTATTACTAAGTAATGCAGGTTGGCCTTCAAGTCATTTATGTAGCCCAGGCTGGCCTCAAATCCATGGTAAGCTTCCTGCCTCAGCTTCCTGAATGCTGGGATTACAGACCTGCCCCTACTACACCATGCAGCCTGGAATATTTTAAGAGCTTCTTAGATGATTTTTATGTTCAGAAATGGTTAAGAATCGCTAAACGAGCATAGTGGGGCCAGGCTATAATCTCAGCAGTCTTCAGGGGACAGGATCTCAAATTCAAACTCGGAGTAGGCAATTTAGTGACTGAGTCCCAGTTTCAAAATAAAAAGTGTTAAAAGAGAGCAAGGGAAGTAATTGTGAAAGTTCAATCTCCATCCAGTGCTAACATACACACGTTCACACACAGGTGGGCACAGAGCCTGCAAGAATGGCTTGTAGGCCCAGGGAGATGGCTCAATAGAATAAGCGCCTGCCTGGCAAGAGCAAGGGCCTGAGTTCAAGCCCCAGTTCCGCAAAAAAAAAAAAAAAAAAAAAAAAGGCTTGAACCTGGAAGCTTCAACACCTATTTCTAGCTGGGTGTGATGGTGCACACCTGTAATTCCAGCACTCAGGAGGCTGAGGTGGGAGGATTACTACAAGTTTGAGGATAACCGTAATAAGACCCTGTCTATAAATAAATAAATAACCAACCATCCACGTTGGTATTTGTTTTCTTAATGAGCTTTGCAATCAAAATCCACTTGTTTTCTGTGTGTGCACACCAGTTTTTAGAACAATGGCTCGGTGGTTGTTTTTCTACAGTGAAGTTGTAACGTGGCGACCCACTTGTCCCCTTCAACCTAAAACTTCTCTTAACGCTACTAACTCACCCACCATTCTACCATCCATTCTCACGTGCTCCTGCGGCCCTCTTAAATTTTGAGATCCTGTAACTTAAAACACAGAATTGTTGCCCTTGGGTTTTGGCCGTTATTTGACCATTCTGCCTATCTCCTTAATAGTTTTTCTTCTCTCTCCTCAAAAATCTAAACTATTTTTCTATTACTAAAACCCCACAATCAGGTTTCCTTCCAGACAGCACCCGACAACTACCCAGTCTCCCTCCAAAAACTCTCATTTTCTAAAATGGCCGCCGCCAAGAAGCCCTGAGAAGGATGCACGCACCCCACGCACGCATGCTCAGTACAGCTGGGGGAGGGGCACTGAGGAGAGCTGGCCTAAGAAGGAAGCCGGAAGGGCAGCAACGCCTGTGAGTGGGGCACGGTGGTGAGGGGACGGAAGAAGGAGCCTCCACGGCCCGCCGTGGGCGCCCTCAAGGCGCCTTGCCGGGCCAGACCCAGCCTGACGTCACAGGAAGTGCGAGGGCCCCACCTGGACTAGGGATCGGAAGTGGGCGTTGCCCGGGCGTGGCGGCGAGGCGAAGGCGGCGAGCGCGGCACCGCTGAGGTAGGGAAGAGTGTGGCTCGGCTCTTCCAGACAATTCACCCGAACTGTACTGCTTTGCCTTCTCCAGGTAAGGTCTCTTTTGCCACTTTCTGCGTGTAGTTTTCAGCTCTCGGACTCTGAACGAAGCTCTTTTGGCTATGGACCAGTTGTAAGCCGTCGTCCCCTCGAAGGCCTCGCTGGCGCCTTCTTCAGCCTTTTTGAGTTAACCATCTTCCTCACCTTCTCTTTAGTCCCCTCGCTTCAAACTGTTCAGATTTCGGTTTGAGTTTCTTTGTCTAAAGGAAGAAAGCTACTCTTTTATGGAGGCCTTCAACTCTGTTGGGAAGAAACAGTAGCTCCCTACTCTTCCAGTTCCTAAATTTAACTGCTTCACAGTTTGTCGGAATCACTGGTCTGGTACTAAGGAACAGGGTTACCAGTTAAGAGTTTGGGAGATATTTAAAGGGATACAGTTGAGCGATAATACTAAAAATTCCAATGCCCTTAGTCTACTATAATTAGTCTTTTTACATGGAAAAAAAAAAATACAGTGGTTCCCTATATGTTGCTGAACTTGGCAGTCCTCCTTTATGTGCGTTAAAAAATCAAGAAACTGGATACTTGATTCTTTATTCCATACCTCTTTTTAGTGGAAAGTTATGAAGAACTATGTGTAAAAAGAATCAGAATTTTTTAATCCAGATATTAAAAAAATATATTTTTGATAGTTTAATGATTGTCGTTAACAAATGGGCCCTGCCAGCTGATCAGTTGTATTTCCTAACATAAGTTCCATAGTTGCTTATGTCATAGAATGGGGAGATGGGTATGGAATTGTATGAGAGGCCAAAAGAGAGCTTGCCTGGAGACAACAGCTGTAATACAATAAATTTTCAGAAGCTTCCTGTGAGGTAGTTTTACATAGAATTAGTTTTTACTCTGTTTTGTTTTAGTGTTAAAGGCGTTCTCTGCTAAAAGGGGATTCAAACTATGAAAAAACAATTTCCTTTAATCTTTCATATTTCTGTTAAATATTTTCTCCTCTTGGAGTTATCCATAATATACAGTAGGTGGTCCTTGAGTCCTATCATTCACAAGTTTTCCCTCAGTGAATACAGGAACTCAGTATTAACCAGAGAGGTTTAAATCAACCATATTAATATAGGAGACTGCGAGAGGAGGGCAAAATGAAGCAGTGGCACTTCCTGGTCATGTTCAAGAAAAGTCAAAAATGGCAATCTAAAGCCAGGTGTGATTGTACACACCTGTAATCCTGGCACTTAAGGGCAAAGGAAGGAGGTTTCCTGGGAATTTGAGGCCAACTTGGGTATAAAGTGAGTCCAGGGCCGACCCTAACTGCATAGTGAAACCCTGACTCAGAAAGACCACTCCTCCGCAAAAAAAAAGGTAATCTAGAATGTCTGAGAATTTTGAACCATTAAGGGTCTGGCATAGATGTCCATCGTTCCTGATCCTAGAGAGGGACAAGACTGGTAGCCTGTCCATCCTGTAATTTTTAGAAATTTAAGAGAGCTTTAAAATAGTACCCTAACCCAGGCATGGTGGTGCCTTCCTGTAATCCCAGCACTGCCACTCAGAACACTGAGGCAAGAGGATTCTGTAAGTTTGAAGCCAGCATGTGCTATATAGTCAGTTGAGGCCAGCCTGGAATACTTAGCAAGACTTTGTCTCAAAAAATAAAATACCATATGCCTGTTTCTGTTCCGAATTTAAATAATAAGTATTTTTATGGTGTTGACTTATGCCCTTTAGTGTTAGATAGCATCAAATCCCTACTCAGGTATACAGTAATAGGCTATTTGTGGGCCTTAAAATTTATTCCAAGAATGTAGATTAGGCAGTGATGTTAAACTGCTTCAAACCAGTCGGTTGTAAATTGTGTTCACGTTTTAATCCCAGCCATTCAAAAGGCTTCAGGCAAAAGGATTACAAGTTCAAGTCCAGGCTGGGTAGCTCTCTCAAAAAAGTAAAAAGGGCAGGAGTGTTAGCTCAGTGGGTACAATGTTTGCCTATCATGTGTAAGTGCCTGGATCCAGTCCCTAGTACTACCAGGGAAAAAAACAAGCTTCAGAAGAAGAAAGAAAGCTTTGAAAGAGGAGAAAATGGGGAGCAAGATACATGCTAAGGATTTCTTATATTGAAATTGGAGAGCTTCAACCAGTAGTGATTTCTCCTCTTAGGGCTGCCTTTGGTACATTTTCTGATTCCTTGATCTGTGTGTTTTTTCCCTCTAGCGCTTGAAATCAGCTCCTTCGTTTTCAGCATGGAAGATACCTACAGTATGTACTTCTTACTGCTTTTAGAAAATAATTGTATTATTTTGTAATATTATTTTATGTCTGACTAGACTTTAGGTGTGTTATGAAAAATTCAAATTTCAGCCCAAACTACTGAGAAGGAAAGGTCTAAATGGTACTGATGTAAAAAAGATCTCCAAAGTTGAAGTAAGACACTCATATGTTAAGTAATTAAAAAGGAATGAGAAGTCATATAGCTTGAAAAGGCAGTGGTTAGGACATCTGTCTGAAACTGTATATTTGGTTTGGTATTTTTGATGCCTGGGATTGAGCCCAAGCCTTGCACATGCTAAGTATGTGCTCTATAAACTGTATTTTAATTAAATGAGATACTTTTAACTCCTTAGAACTTCAGCCTCTTATATGTTTGAAACAGAAATAGTAACTTCTGCTTTATATTTTGATGGGTAATGTAGTATACATAATATTGCTGTATATTGAGTTTTTAGGATGAGAAATTCTGAGAAGGATTCTTACTTTTCAAGTGATTCAAAAAAACTTATAAGGCCTAAAAAATCAACACCAATCTCGGCAATTAATGACACCCTGTCTCAGAATTTTAAAAGGCTGAGAAGATAGGTCATGTGAAGACCCTAAATTTAGTCCTAAGTATTGAAAAACAGTATAAGAAGGGGGCTGGAGTTTGGGGGTTTTTTTTAATGTATTTAGTACAGAGTCTACAGGGTTTCACTACACAGATCGGACTCTTGTAGTGATTCTCCTGTTTTCAGCCTCCCAAGTGCTGGGATTACAGGCATGTGCCAGCACGCCGAGCTTCAGTGACCATCTCAGCGCACTCCAGGGGTGGGGCCAGCATGACAAGCCTGGGATTGAACCCCAGCCACTGCACTCTGCCTATACAAGCACTTTAGTCCTCTGAGCTATTTGGCCAGCCCTCGGGCTGGAGATTTATAAGTGCAAAAGATCTAGATTCAATCGCCTTTGTTAAATATGTAAAACACAATGATTCTTAAATTCATCATACAACAAAATCACCTTGAGCCTTGTTAAAACATGGGGGTCCCACCCTAGAGTTTCTGAATCAAAAAGTATGGGTTCTGAGGATGTGCATTTCTGACAATCCCCCAGATGATGCTGATACATTTGCTCTGAGGACACAATTTGAGAATCATTGATCTGGAAAGCTGATTCTCTTTGATCTTCCTTAGGATTCGCACAATTTTTCTTACAAAAAAATTCACCAAGGAACTTGCTAGAAATTCAGTCTCAAGCCTCAAGCCTTATCCCAAATCTCAAGCCTTATCTCAAATTTACTGAGTCAGAATCTGTATTCTAAATAATCCCTAAATAACACTTGGGAATGATGGAAACTTTGAGAAACACTGTGTTTAAATATACTTGACTTCATTTAACAAATTTTCCTGGAATTCCAACCATAATCTGGTAAGAGTTCATAAGGCCTCCATCTTCTGTTTTGGGCTTCACCTCAATTGATGATACCTTTGTCAGGTCTAGTTTCTTACTCCCATGAAATTTCTTCCATTTCTTTCCATGAGCTCTAGGCCTACTCAAATTTGAGGATCAGGTAATGTTTTTGGAGGAAGCTTGTCAACAGGACTTGCTTTCCAATGTAAGTATAGTTGTAGGAAGCCAGACGAAACTGTTACAGAGATGTTTGATAGTATTTATTTCAACTTTAAATGCACCTACACTTCACTGCAGCTTCCTTAGGTATCTGCCCAAGAGAAATACACAGTGCACAAAGTATAAACTAGATTATTAGTCAGTATATTGTACACAGTAGTAAAACAACTGGAAACAAATGCTCATCAACAAGGGAACTCGGGGCCAGGGAGATGGCTCAGTGGAACAAGGGCCTGAGTTCAATCCCCAGTTCTGCAAAAAAACAAAAACAAAAAACCAAGGGAACTCATCAGGCATGGTGGCACATAACTGTAATTCCAGCGCTTGGGAGGCTGAGGCAGGAGGATTGCTATGAGTTCAAAGCCAACGTGGGCTGCATAGTGAATTCAAGGCAAGCCTGAGTTATATAAGGAGACCCTGTCTCAAAACACAAGGGAACTAATTAAGAATCTGTGATACGGGGCTGGTGAGATGGCTCAGTGGTCTAAAGCACCTACTTAGAACAAGCTTAGCAAAGCACAGGGACCGCGGTTCAATCCCCCAGCACCACATGCCAGCCAGCCCTGCCCCCTGGTGGGCTGAGCTGGCCACACACACACACACACATAAATAAATAAATAAATAAATAAAAATTAAAAAAAAAAAAAAAGAATCTGTGATACAAGGGCCGGCCAGATAGCTCAGTGGATTAAAGTGCCTGCTTAGGCAGATGCAGGGTCCAGTGGTTCTATCCCCAGCCTACCATGCCAGCCCTGCCCCTGGAGCATGCTGAGACAGCAGTTGAGACTGGGAGTGGTGGCGCACATCTGTAATCCCAGCACTTGGGAGACTGAAAACAGCAGGATCACTATGAGTCCCATTGTTTAATGAGACCCTGTGGACCCTGTAGATACTGTACTAAATACAAAAAAAAAAAAAAAATCTTGTGATACATGCATATATGTAGCATTGATGTATTCCTAAAACATAATGACAAGGAGTACCAAAAAGCATGAAGAGCTAAGGATGCAGCAGCTCAGTGGTAGAGTGCTTGCATAGCATGCACAAAGAAAGCTCTTTGTTCAATCTCCATCTTAACCAGAAAAAAAAAAAAAAGAAAAAAAACAAAAAACAAATTTCTCAGTAGGAGACATTGAAAATTTTGTCCCATACTATAACATGGATGAATTTTGTAAGTATTATGTTAAGTGACATAACTTAATACAGAAAAAAATATGGTATGATTTCACATAGATGAAATATATAAAATATATAGAAAATGGTTTCTAAGGCCTTGGGAGAATGAAGATTAGAACGTTGATATGTAACAGATATAGTTTTTTTGAGACTACAGACTTCTAGAGATTGCTCAATAGTGTGAATATACCTGGCACTACTAAATTGTACACTTTTTTTTTTTTTTTTTTTGCGGAACCAATGATTGAACTCAGACCCTTGAGCTTGCCAGGGAAGTGCTTATTCTACTGAGCTATCTCCCCGGCCCCGAATTGTACACTTAAAGTAATTAAAATGCTGCAATTCAAGTGCCTGCCTGGCAAGCGCAAGGTCCCAAGCTTGATCCCCAGTACCAGAAAAAAAATAAATTGAAAATAAAAAGAACCAAAGGGCCAGGGAGATAGCTCAGCAGCATAAGTGCCTGCCTAGGAAGCACAAGGTCCTAAATTCAATCCCCAATACTGCCAAAATAATAATAAATAAAATGCATTTCATAGGTATTTATCACAATTTTAAGTTTTTCAATTAAAAATAATTTTTTTTAAATACAGAAAACTAAATTAGAGCTGACCTAAATTGTCAGACACCAGGAAAGTAAAGCATTATGGTAGGAAGTCCTCATTGTCAACTCTAACATATGCTACTATGTGGGCAGTATAATGTGTGTAAATCATATGGTACATCCATTCTGTCAGCTTCTGACATGGCCTAACGCTTTCAAGTGATGGAATAGATTAAATGAAGGGAAACTAATAAGAATTTCATCTGGAAATGCTCCCTGGATGTCCTGAAGCTTCAAAAATAGGAAAAGATTGCTGGTCAAGAAGAGCTCAGATAGCATAATAAGCTTGCCTGTCCTCTAAGACTTTCATTCTGTCCTTCAAGTCACCTTTCTAGCTCATTTGCATCATGATTATGGTTAGCAATTCCGTGTTTACCATTCTTCCAGTGAAACTGTCTGTTTCAATTCCCCACTGGCTTCTGATTTTCACTGCAGTCCCTTGGTTTGTAAGCTTCTTATCAAATGTGAATTATTTTATTTCACTTTAAAAATTACATTTAAGGATGGCAAGAGCATTTGCCTGTTCAAAAAGTGCCTTTAACCATTTAATTTCCCTCTCTTAGCTACAATTATTTAAGTTTGGGGCTTAGCCAGTGTATCTTGTATATCCTGAGGACAGTTTTAGATAGTATGATATAGATTAGGGGCTTTTCTTCCACATAGCAGTTCCGTATGTCTGTAATTGTCTTAACCTTGGGAAAGTTTTTTTTTTTAGTCTGGCTAGTTTGGCAGTCACTAGATCAAGAATTATTTGAGCCCTCTCCCCATCTGTGTTCCAAAATAGGGAAAATAAAACCACCTATCTGTTAAAGGTTAATCTGTTAAAGGAACTAACTATAGGAGCCAATTAAAACAGACAAAAAACAACTACCACTGATATTTCTCAAGCTTCCTGAAAATAGTATAACTAATACAGAGCAGTGCTTACCACCTTTATGTCATGGATGCCACTATAGTAAAAGATGCAGAAGAGAATGGACCATCCTCAACTTGTCCTAGGGCCATTTGGCAGAGGATTAAGTGGTGGGGTGATTTACAAGCACAGTGGGCTGCAATGAGTATATTGGGACACCAGTAGTCTACTCCAGCTTTAACATACTGGTTGGCAAGCTCTGATTGGATTAGAGAAGAAAAGTGATCTTGAATTAGAACTTTTAGAAAAGGAAAAGAGAATATCATGTAACAGTTTTTGTTTTTATTTTATGGTAAGAGTAACCAACTATGAAGACACAATTTGTTAATTAACACGTTGGCAATATAAAATGATTATATTTGTCATAGAGAGT